TTAGGGTCTAGGGTTGGTTTAGGGTTGGTTTAGGGTTTAGGGTTTAGGGTTGGTTTAGGGTTTAGGGTTGGTTTAGGGTTAAGGGTTTAGGGTTGGTTTAGGGTTATAGGGTTTAGGGTTGGTTTAGGGTTCAGGGTTTAGGGTTGGTTAGGGTTAGTTTAGGGTTCAGGGTTTAGGTGTTTAGCCTTCGGAGCTGCACCGTAGCCTAAACCCTAAAGCGTAACACTTCTAGACAGACATATGTACCGCCCACTTCCGTAGTCCCACGTTAGGATCTATATAGCCGTTTGGCCTTAAGAATTAGCATATGGCTTTGGAGTACAGTATCATTATCATAAGGAGCCCTCAAGAACAAGAACACTTTGGACTGGTAGCTCGTAAGTATCCAGACTTCTATACTACAGCAACTCAAACGAATTCCCTCTAAATGCCTTTGTTAACAGATCCTGTCGCAGTGTAGAGACAGAAGGAAGGATCCAGTTTACAAAAAGGTTGATGTGGTCACCCTGCAGGGAAAATAGAAAAAAGCTAAGCAAAATTACGGGTCAGCTTCTGCATCCTTTCACGCAAATACCGTTAACATTCAAGCCCCAGATCCTGAGAACCAGAAGCCTGAAGCTATGAAAACGAGCTGCCGGCGAGTATGTCCAAGGGCCCATCAGCCACAAAGCCGTAAAGCTTTGCCTTTGTCGGTTTGGGGAGTTGGGTTTAGGCACTAAACCCCCTAAACCCTAAACCCTGCACCCTACACCCTAAACCCTAAAGGGTGTAGGGAATGCAAGGGGACCAACTGTTCAGGCAAAGCAACGAGCCATCAGGTCGTATTCCCTTGCCGGTGTTGCAGTTTCAACCATCTGTTATCGATAGGTTTAGGGTTTTGGGCTTTGGGTTGCACTACCCAAAACTCAACTCCTGAAAAGCCATTGCTGTTACTTGCAGCTGCTGCTTAGCTGTTTTTTCAGCTTGCTGTGCTGTTATACCTGCTTCTCTTGCTAGTTGCCCTGACTAAGGAGCTGAGGACCCTACCAAAAAAATGGTCACAAATTAATCCTGCCAAAATAAGGCCTAATTAACCTTACCATAAAGCGTTACAAATTAAGCTTGCCAGACAAGGTTTACAAATTAACCTTGCTAAAGTAACAGTATAGTGGCGTGGGACTATACAAGCCCCAAGAGGTGAAAGGTTTACCTACTCATCCCCTACCCTTAGGGTCCAAGTGCCCAACAATCATATACTCTCCCAAATATTAACCTAGATAACAACTATCCGCAACCAAAGTACCTTATTATTGGGCCCTTTGGACCCTAAAATGTAAACCCTAAACCCAAAACCCTAAACCCCCCTCAGGGCTAAGTTGAAACTCGAAAACATCGTCCGGTGTTACCCTATCCACAAGGAGTCCCAGCTCTGACTGTAGACCCGGAATCTTAAACCCTAGTTCTTAAATTCTAAACCCGAAATCCTAAACCCTAAACCCTAAATCTTAAACCCTAAGCCCTAAATCTTAAACCCTAAACCCTAAACCCTGAACCCTAAACCCTAAACCCTGAACCCTAAACCCTGACCTGCACCTACTGCTGACTACTGTCCTATGCCCAATTGTGCGAGGCTGATGGACTAGCTTGGAGGGTCCGAAGATTTTATAAGTAGGTAACTAGAGTTATAAGTGGGTTTAGGGTTTAGGGTTTACTAGGCTTCTGAGTAGCCCGTTTATCATAAGGGTACCCATTTTCCTACTATGCGGTTTTAATAAGGCGACCCTACAAGAAAAAGTGCAAAAGGGTACTACTCAGGAACCAAGTATACTACCTATACCCTAAACTCCAAAATTTTAGGGTTTAGGGTTTTAGGGTTTAGGGTTTTGGGGATCCTAGCTGGAGTTATGGTACTTTTTCGCTGTATATGATTGAAGCTTAGAAGGGTCGCGGGGCATTAATTAGGGGTTGCAGGGCTTCGGGTTCGGGCGTTTTTTCGGGGTTTAAGGGTTTAAGGGTTTAAGGTTTCCGGGTTTAGGGGTTCAGGGGTAAAAAGCTGTAGAGTGCATCGTTGCGCTTGAGGCTCCCAAACTCCTGCAGCTCGGATCCCAACACTGGAAGCCGATCTGGGCAGATTCTGGTATTCCAAAGCGTTAAGGCCCTTAAAGAGCCCCAAACCCTAAACCCTAAATCTTAAACCCTAAGCCCTAAAATGTAAACCCTAAACCCT